AAACATTTAATACTTAAAAAAAAAAAAAAAAAAGAGAAGAAGAGACCCATTACAATGGTAGTGATTGTAGGGAAAAGGGCCTTTTTTTTACCCCACTCGCCACCAATGTAAGGGTGCACTTAGCACTTAGTCAGTGAACGCAGCATGTCCTGTTAAAGCATAGCTAAGCAATGCTCCATCAATGTACGGGGGTCAGTATTCCACTGACATTCAATGTAGGGGTCCGTTTTTTATATTGACCTCCAATGTAAAGGGGGTTTTTTTCATTGGCAGTCAATGTAAAAGACCCCTTGCATTGGCAACAATTGGGGTAAAAAAAGCCCTTTCATTGGCAGTCAATGTAAAAGACGCCTTGCATTGGCAACAATTGGGGTAAAAAAAAAAAAAAATACCTTTGATTGGGGTTCAAGTGAGCCCTTACATTGGATGTCCGTGGAACACTGATCGCATACATTGCTGGTACAGCAGGGCTTAGATATGCTGCGTCCAAAGAAACATAGCAGCATCACGCAAGCACAGCCTCTGAACTGCTATGTGTACCGCTCAAAGTCAGGAAATTCGGCTGAGGTGCATTTGAGGTGCGCTCCAAAACACAGGAGCATCAACGCCTGTTGATGTGAGCCCTCAGGCAGGCAGGAAGAACCAGCCGAAGGGCCTGAAGGCCTTTAAAGGTTCACATGACCCATTACAAATGTAAAACCAACGTCATGGCATTTCCTGTGGAGTGAAAGACTTTCCTCATCATAAGTAAGAATTACATTTGGATTGCAGCATTGCTGGAAGATCCTAACATTACACGTGACAGGTGCACTTTATCCAGAATTGGGTTCTGCATTTGTAGACATATGAACCAAGAAAGCTGTAATCAGTACTGAGCAGTAACCCGCAGCAACCAATCAGCTATTGTGTAAGGGCGCACGCTGTGGACATCAGTATTCTGTGCTGCTTTGTGAATAAGCCTGCTGGAGTAATGGGTGGTCGTCCTCCGATGTGTACGCCGTCTCTTGTTTTATTAGCGCCAGCGCTGTACATGACAATCACACGGCTGAGTGTTTCGGATTGGGAGACGGCGGGTAATGATATGATCCCCGTCAGTCGGGGAATATTGCATTTAGCTGGCACTTAGTCTGCAGGGTTGAGCTGAGGACGTGCACCGTCTGCCGATCCGTTCCGCTGCCAGGCTGCCTTCTTCTAATGTTTACTATGCTCTCTATCTCAGACTTCAGCCAAGTTTCCTCCGGCTCATCCGGGCGGCTTCCTACCCCAGCCGATCCAGGAGCCCTGGGGAAGGGGGGGTCACCTAGAAGCAGATGGGTTCTCATAAGATATTCTGTTCACATCATTCCAAGCTCTGATCATGGAAACCAAACTCAGGCCCTCCAGCTGTTCTGGAACTACAAGTCCCACGAGGCATTGCAAGCCTGACAGTTACAGGCATGACTCCTAGTAGCAGAGTCATCATAGGGGTTGTATTTTCACCGCAGCTGGACGGCTGGAGTTTGCTTATACCTGATGTAAACGAAGAAACGTTCATATCACCGGAGTAGCCCAAATCTGGCCAGAAGATAATCCTGCACCTCCTTGTGAGGTTAAGCCATTCAGCATTCTCTGGGATCTCATCAGCAATCCAGTGCTGACCCGTATCCTGTGATCCCAGTTCACCTCTGCACTAACTTAGCAGAACTTCAGGTATTCTGACGCATCTGACCCCTGAGTGGGATGCCTACAGTGATCTGGATGGGTCCTTGGGATGCGTAATGTGGCGGTTGGGACCTTTGCCCCGGGCTTACTGCTTCCTGTCCTTCCGGGAGGCTGGGATCCTATCCGGTTCTGTCTGGTGCCTCTCCCTCTTTCTGAAAGCCAACTTAGCTGGCCTAACTACAGAACCCTATCTGTGCAGAAAATAGGAGCTTCCCTTTACACTAGTGATCAGCCCCCTGGTGATCATTGAAAGGGGGGGCTTTCTAGATGCCAGTGGAACACTGACCCCGTGCATTGGATGCCAGTGGAACACTGACCCCGTGCATGGGATGCCAGTGGAACACTGACCCCGTGCATGGGATGCCAGTGGAACACTGACCCCGTGCATGGGATGCCAGTGGAACACTGACCCCGTGCATGGGATAAACACTGACCCCGTAAATTGATTGCATAAGAATGGTTAGTTGACTGCACAAAAGATTATACGTTGACCCCAAGTCCTTGTTATACGATTTAACCAAGCCTGTACAATGACATGGCTCAGCAATATTGTGTTCTCAGAATCCCAGATGTTTACACTCAGGACGGCTGGCTACATTACAGCTTTACCTGGATGACAAACAGAAGCTAAGGGCAGGGAACTCGCTGCTACGGTTTGCATTTAATGACCTTAAAAATGAAGTACACACGATCTATCCAGAAGCGAAGGGTTAATTCTAGGAGCACAAGTCTCTCAGAAGCTCACAAACTTCTGCAGATCACAATGAGACGCTGGACGCGTGGAGTCGCCAGCTTCGCCCCAACTGCACGCTGTGAACTGTAAAGATTTATACACTTCCATGTACACGGCAGATATACAAAACTGCCATGCTGCCCATCGCCATGGCAACCAGAGTTCTCGCGCCGGCTCCCTACGACGAACACGCGATACTCCCGACAAGCCTACGCTCATTCTGTCAGGAAGGAAATGATGTCGTGCGCGAGGAAGGTCGCCCGCGGCGCCAAGAGGCCTTGTAACATGCGCCATGCAAGACGAATCCGCAAACTTTACACAGCTTCCTCCATGAAGAGCTCAATGGGAAATAGAAGACACGTCCTGATAAGAAAATGATCCCGGATTTATATAGCACCAACAGTATGCACAGCGCTGTACAAAATAAAGGGAATTACAATCCAAGAGTCCTGATCCTGAGAGGGCAACTCCGGCCCTCCAGCTGTGCTTTAACTCCAAATCCCATCATGCCTCTGCCTCTTGGAGTCATGCCTGTGGCTGTCAGTCTTGCAATGCCTAATGGGACTTGTAGTTCCACAACAGCTGGAGTGCCGAGGTTGCCTCCCCCTGGACTAATTAGTAGGGAAGGAGAG